TCCATGGCCTTGCACCAAAGTACATCCATGATATGCTAGTCCCATATGAACCAGCCCGGACTCTGAGGAGCGCAGGGACGGGACTCCTGTTAGTGCCCAGAGTCAGGACTAGACAGGGGGAGGCTGCTTTTCAGATTTATGCAGCTGGAGTCTGGAACGGTCTTCCTGAGGATGTGAGACTGGCTGCCTCTCTGTCAATGTTCAAATCCATGTTAAAGACTTTTCTTTTTTCCCGTGCATACAACTAGAGAATTTTATCTTTTTAACACACCTTGTTATTTATTGTTGTAACGTTTTGTGTTTTTAACTATTTTATTGTTTTTAATTACTTGTGTGATTTTTATGTTTTTAAATTACTTATGTGATTTTAATGCTTTTTAATTACATATGTGTTTTTAATTGTATTTTAATGGTGATGATTTGTGCATTGTGTGGTGTGGACTGTGAGGCGCTTTGTGTTGCCCTGTGCAGGAAAAGCGCCCTATAAATAAAGATTGATTGATTGATTGATTGATATATGTCCTTAAACCCATTAATTGCTACTTAAAAAACCTGAACAGTTGATTCAAATGTGCCATTTGATTTGTTTTTGTACTTGAGCAAATGGGAAGCTCAATGAATAATGTTTTGTTTTGTTTTTTTCTTTAAGGCACCAGGGGTGGGATTAAATAAGTTTTCTTCCCACTCCTTTTCGAGTATCTGTAAGTGTTTCTTTTGTGTATATAATATTCATAATTTTGTATAATGTAGATATAGCTCAGGGTTATTTATACACAACTTTGATATTCTACTTTTGTTTTTCTGTACACATATTTACTCGAAATAAACAAACTTTGAATGAAATTTGAAAATAAACTAAAGTCTACTCAAAACATAACTCACATCAAGGATGCCTTTAATGGCTTTGGAGTGAGCAAGTGCATAATAAATTATGACAAAGTCCTTTGAACAAGCAGAAAAATTGATTTCTTTATGCCAGTTTTATGACAGCTTGACTAGACTCATAAGTCAATCTGAAAGGTGGTCGAATAACGCTTCAATTTAGAAATCTTTCCAGTCGACAAGAAAAAGGAATAATACTGGGTCTTCGGCACTCTGCTGATCAGATAAGGGATGGGCAATTATTTAGTCATATTCTGGAGGGCCGAACCGGTTTTCTCGCAGATCCAACTTATTTTCTATTTTCTGCCAAAGCTACTTCAGTTACACAATTATTTAATTGATGAACAATCGATAATTAAATAAGTGAAAGAAAAACATGGAGCCACCATGTTAGCAACAGACCACCAGCGGAGTGGACCACATGAGGATCCGGGGCCACAGAGAAACGTGAAAGGGGCCACAGTCCCCACAGTGTGCCCAGGTTACGACTAGATAAACAGCCAAGATTATAATCATTTGAAATGTAACGAATGACCTTACACCAAGCATGGTTCCGGCTTGTGTTCATTGTTGTGTTTGGACCATGAGCAGTGTTGTGCCACCTACGCCACGCTTTATTTAGGCTATGTTTTATAAACAACATAGCCAAAATAAAGCTCTTTGTGTCACACACTGGGGAATTGATAGCGTTACAACACACACTAGAGCAAGGGCTCAAAAAATGAATTAAAAATAATCTAATTTATATGAATACACTGTACTCAAATAGGGCCCTCTGGTGGCATCTCTGTACTCAATATATCATCCAATTAAAGCGGAAGCTGAACAGGTCATCCAAAAATAAGGTGTTGTCCGAAAAAGAAAAAGTTAAATTATCTAGCTGATGATGGAGCATTTTCATATCCAACATTATTATTTATTCACACAACTTCTTTCAGGATTTTTCTTCAGTAAACAAACTCTTGGATCTTGACACAGTACAGTTGTTCCCATTGTCACATTATTGTCTCCGGTTTGTATGGAACTTTGTTAAAAGACAAAAAAAATCATTGGCTGTCACTTGCTCTTATTGGGGATCAGGGAAACTGTGGCCTCTCAGGTGTGTTGCTAGATAAGAGCTGGTTTGGGCTGAGACAAGCGAGCAGCCAGAGCCCAGGACTGAGGGACCAGAAGGATGGGAGAAGAGTTGTTCAGATCTCAGTCAGAGCAGTGATCAGTATGCTGCTGAGAGAGGCTCTAATGAAGAGGCCCCTGTACTGACAGCAGCAGCGCATTCGCCGTCACAGCTGTGCGTGTTTGTGTGTGCGTGCATGTGTGTGCGCATGTTGAGAGCTGCCTGGAGACCCTCACATCACATAAACTTCAACAACTGCATGTAGATGAACACACGTCAGCACTGCTATTCTAAAATTGAACACTTTCTAGCAGCTCCCCTGTTTAATGCAACTTATCGAGCTATCGGACACGGACACACACACGGACACACACACACACACACACACACACACACACACACGGACACACACACGGACACACACACACACACACACACACACACACACACCTCTGGGAATACCAAGTGCCACAGTGGGGGGCACCTGTCCCCCGTAAGACCCGAGGGGGGATTTAAAATTTATGATATTTTAATTTTACGTCTTTGTTCTGAGTTTGTCCCTTTTTTTTTTTTTACGAGTGTGCATTTTTCTCTCTTTCTTTACTGCAAATAGATAAGATAACTTTTATTCGTCCCAAAGTGGGAGAGGGCGGAGTGCAACAGGCTGCGGTCTGCTCCCCTGCACCTTTCAGAATGTGTCACTCAACCAGTAGCAATACACTGAACAGAATAGTCTTGTTTATACAATGTGCTATATAAATAGGATTGGATAATTGTAAAACTAGCACAATTTAAATTTTCTTCAAATTAACTTTCCAGTAACTTTCTTCAATATAATAATATTTAATGAAGCTAATACCTATTTTCAGCACATGTACCTTGCCTTTTCTCGTCGAGGCAATCGTGCTTATTTAAAAGGAACATCAGCTGGAATTCCCATGATTTTCTGGGCACTGAGTGTCTTAAAGTGGGATCAGAAACTCCAAAGCTACAGAAAAGACAGATGATGTGTTGGATATGGAGGCTGGAGAGTATCCTGCTGGGAGAGGCTGATATAAAAATTTAAATATATATAGCTTTTCCTGCTAAGGCCAAACCACAGCATGATATATGCAGGAATCCCACAGCTGTCAGTGACCAAAGCAGTGACATGTAAAACTCAACTGAACAGGTTATGAATTATTGAAGACGGGAGACAAGATCACGATATGACAAAATTGAAAATGCAAATGATTCTTGTGTGTATAAAGTGATTGAGCTGTTACAAATTAAAATGTGTGTAATGACACTACGCACATTTTTTTTTGTAGTCAATTCTAAAATTATAGTAATCAAAGTTATACACGTGGAACTTAGAACACATGAGATTGCCCAGCTCTAAGTAATAAGTAAGCGAGTAATCTTTATTTATATAGCGCATTTTTACAGATGAGGTCACCCAAAGTGCTTTACAATGTACAGAGTTCAGATATTGATCCATTCTCTCCACATACAGTGATGACAAAAGCCTCTGTATCAAAGCCTCTGTCCAAACACCATCCATTCACTCACTCATTAGAAACTATTAGAAAAATACCCATTGTCCCCTACCATTGTGTTTTTAGTGGTAGGGGAAAACTGAGCACCCAGAGGAAACCTAAGCAGACCTGGGGAGACCATGCAAACTCCAAACCCAGGGCCTTCTTACTGAGAAGCGAGAGTGCTATCTGCTCAGCCACTGTGTTAGCATTTAAAGAGCGTTTCATTATTATCGTTAATATTTGCATTCAGGGCTATAGATTACATTATCTCACATCCTCTAGACTTGTGATTTATGAAGCACAGAGGCAGATGACATGAGCACAAAAAAATTATCAAATGTCTCTGCAGCAGAAGAATGAGGGATCCTGTATAATTGCTACACTCAGCGGCTCCAGATGTGTGCATCGATTGTGCGACCGAATGCCTTATTTCCTCTGGGCTTCACAGAGGAAACAAATACACTGTGATGAGAATGTATCTTGTAATTATGAACACAATATCATTTCATAATACTGCTTTATTGGGAATAAAAATATGTTGCTTTACAGTTTGCCAATAGCCAGCCGTACCATGAGTGCAGCTTATTTTAGTTTGTATATGTGAAACTCATTTTTGTACAGAGCCCTTGTGGCTGGGGTAGAAACACATTCCTGTTCAGTTTTAGATCTGGTCCTTAGCACATGGAAGAAGACTGCTAACCATTGTAAACCACAAGTAAAAGGCACTAACTAAGAATTTGCTTTGGCTCATGGTGCAATCAAGTTGAAAGAGTAAAAAGGAAGGGCATGCATAAAAAAAATCTGGTCTAAAAATGCCTTACATACAAGTGCATTAAGTACAGACAATAGACATTTAGTAGTGCAGTAAAGTGGCAGCAGTATAAGGTGGTGGTTGTGAAGGGTTTGAGTGATGAGTTATGAAGTGTGGCAGCAGAGGGGAAGAAACTAACCCTATGGCTTGGCAGGAGGTTCTGGTAATAGTAACTATTGTTGTGTCCTCAACCAAGACTTTTAACCTGTGTTAACTATGTAGAATACAGTCCTTTGCTTTAAACAAGGACAACAAACCATGAGTAATGGGATTTTGTCTCTCTCAAACTGAAAGAAGAGCCGATATATTTCTTTGCGACTCTCCACAGCACGGACCTTAGATTTTTCACATGCTTTCAAGTATTGCGATGTTAAAAGATGCTGGCTTTACAGTTTTGAGGTGCAAGTAGTAAGTTTTCATCTTTAGAAATCTAAGCAATAGCTCATATCAATTTTTCATTTCCTATCGAAATTCTGTCTGAGCCTTGTCTTTGATAGTGATCCAGAGAATTGACTTTCTGACACAGTGATAAAAAATGTCTTCTGCAGTGCTGGTGTCATCTGTATTTGACTTCATAAACCATGGTGTAACACGGACGATGTCATATTTAATATCTACTTTCTCTAGTTGTAGCCACTCACCTGACATTTCAATAGCAACATTTCAATAGCACTTACCTGAACTCTGCTGTGAGAAGGTTGAAGCCATTGTACAAGTGGCCTTCTGCAGAAACTTTTTTAAGGTAAGAGTAGCTGTCTCCATTGTTCTCCATGAGGTAATTGGACACTAAGAAACCTGCAATGTGTGAAATAAAATTAGCCTTTCTTTTCCATTACCTCAAACACCAAAAGCTTAAATTGGTGCAAGATCAGTTTTGTAATGGCTAATATACCTCGTCCTTGTGCATCTGGGTTTGGGTGGCCCTCCATATAGTTTGTAATAGCAGCGAGTTTTCCCCTCTTGTTGATGCCCAGCCATGAGCCTCCTTCTTTTCCATACTCCTGGTCAAGGCCTGTTCAACAAATTAAAAATTAAAAGAGTTTCATTTAGACAACCACTAAAAATTCATTATCACAATTTAAAAAGGGACCATATATATTTTCATTGAAAACTAGAAACTTGCAATGGCTGAAGCCATTGCGATTGACTGCGGAACAGATCTAATGTGGAATTTAGCTGAAAAATCCTTTGAAACTCCTGAAGTATTTGAAGCTCCTGATATCCTTTAAACTGTTATCCTTTATACTGGTTTACATGTAAAAACCCCTATTAAGTTGCATTATACTGGTTTACATGGAAAAATCCCCATTAAGTTGCATTATACTGGTTTACATGTAAAAAACCCTATTAAGTTGCATTATACTGGTTTACATGGAAAAATCCCTATTAAGTTGCATTATACTGGTTTACATGTAAAAACCCCTATTAAGTTCCATTATACTGGTTTACATGTAAAAACCCCTATTAAGTTCCATTATACTGGTTTACATGTAAAAAACCCTATTAAGTTCCATTATACTGGTTTACATGTAAAAAAAAACCCTATTAAGTTGCATTATACTGGTTTACATGTAAAAACCCATATTAAGTTGCATTATACTGGTTTACATGGAAAAATCCCCATTAAGTTGCATTATACTGGTTTACATGAAAAAAACCCTATTAAGTGGCATTATACTGGTTTACATGAAAAAAACCCTATTAAGTTGCATTATACTGGTTTACATGGAAAAATCCCTATTAAGTTGCATTATACTGGTTTACATGGAAAAATCCCTATTAAGTTGCATTATACTGGTTTACATGGAAAAAACCCTATTAAGTTGCATTATACTGGTTTACATGTAAAAACCCCTATTAAGTTGCATTATACTGGTTTACATGGAAAAATCCCCATTAAGTTGCATTATACTGGTTTACATGGAAAAATCCCTATTAAGTTGCATTATACTGGTTTACATGGAAAAATCCCTATTAAGTTGCATTATACTGGTTTACATGGAAAAATCCCTATTAAGTTGCATTATACTGGTTTACATGGAAAAATCCACATTAAGTTGCATTATACTGGTTTACATGAAAAAAACCCCTATTAAGTTGCATTATACTGGTTTACATGAAAAAAACCCTATTAAGTTGCATTATACTGGTTTACATGGAAAAATCCCTATTAAGTTGCATTGTACTGGTTTACATGGAAAAACCCCTATTAAGTTCCATTATACTGGTTTACATGTAAAAAAAAAACCCTATTAAGTTGCATTATACTGGTTTACATGGAAAAATCCCCATTAAGTTGCATTATACTGGTTTACATGAAAAAAAAACCCTATTAAGTTGCATTATACTGGTTTACATGAAAAAAACCCTATTAAGTTGCATTATACTGGTTTACATGGAAAAATCCCTATTAAGTTGCATAATACTGGTTTACATGGAAAAATCTCCATTAAGTTGCATTATACTGGTTTACATGAAAAAAACCCTATTAAGTTGCATTATACTGGTTTACATGGAAAAATCCCTATTAAGTTGCATTGTACTGGTTTACATGGAAAAATCCCTATTAAGTTGCATTATACTGGTTTACATGAAAAAAACCCTATTAAGTTGCATTATACTGGTTTACATGTAAAAACCCCTATTAAGTTGCATTATACTGGTTTACATGGAAAAATCCCTATTAAGTTGCATTATACTGGTTTACATGGAAAAATCCCTATTAAGTTGCATTATACTGGTTTACATGGAAAAATCCCTATTAAGTTGCATTATACTGGTTTACATGGAAAAATCCCTATTAAGTTGCATTATACTGGTTTACATGGAAAAATCCCTATTAAGTTGCATTATACTGGTTTACATGGAAAAATCCCTATTAGGTTGCATTATACTGGTTTACATGTACAAATCCCTATTAAGTTGCTTTATACTGGTTTACATGTAAAAACCCCTATTAAGTTCCATTATACTGGTTTACATGTAAAAACCCCTATTAAGTTCCATTATACTGGTTTACATGGAAAAATCCCTATTAAGTTGCATTGTACTGGTTTACATGGAAAAAACCCTATTAAGTTGCATTATACTGGTTTACATGGAAAAAACCCTATTAAGTTGCATTATACTGGTTTACATGTAAAAACCCCTATTAAGTTGCATTATACTGGTTTACATGGAAAAATCCCCATTAAGTTGCATTATACTGGTTTACATGAAAAAAAACCCTATTAAGTTGCATTATACTGGTTTACATGAAAAAACCCTATTAAGTTGCATTATACTGGTTTACATGGAAAAATCCCTATTAAGTTGCATTATACTGGTTTACATGGAAAAATCCCTATTAGGTTGCATGATTACACTGAAGTCCTTGAAACTGCTGAAGTCCTTGAAACTGCTGAAGTCCTTGAAACTGTTGAAGTCCTTGAAACTCTTGAAATCTTGAAACTGCTGAAATCCTTGAAACTGTTGAATCCTTGAAACTGTTGAATCATTGAAACTGTAGAAATGTCTGAAAGAGCTGAAGTCCTATTAAAATGCATGGGCCTATTAAAATGCATTGCAGAATTCTCAATGCAGATTTTTGTCCGATTGCGGAAAAACCGGAAATCGCTGAAGTCCCAAAAGTAATAGCAATAATCTCCCAAACATGTGGAACGTTTTGATGTATAACTTGTGGAAATTGTTGAAAATGTGAAAGCTGTGAAACGTGTCAAAAAAAATGACGGAATAAAGAAATACAAAACCAATGGTTGACTGCGGAAGGTTCCGCAGTCAATCAATTAAATTGTAAATGTCCCCATGCAGATAATAGGTCAACATGTACAAATCATATCTGGCCTTTTCTGAAAAACTTTAAAAGTGCATTTATTGATTGACTGCGGAACCTTCCGCAGTCAACCATTGGTTTTGTATTTCTTTATTCCGTCATTTTTTTTGACACGTTTCACAGCTTTCACATTTTCAACAATTTCCACAAGTTATACATCAAAACGTTCCACATGTTTGGGAGATTATTGCTATTACTTTTGGGACTTCAGCGATTTCCGGTTTTTCCGCAATCGGACAAAAATCTGCATTGAGAATTCTGCAATGCATTTTAATAGGCCCATGCATTTTAATAGGACTTCAGCTCTTTCAGACATTTCTACAGTTTCAATGATTCAACAGTTTCAAGGATTCAACAGTTTCAAGGATTTCAGCAGTTTCAAGATTTCAAGAGTTTCAAGGACTTCAACAGTTTCAAGGACTTCAGCAGTTTCAAGGACTTCAGCAGTTTCAAGGACTTCAGCAGTTTCAAGGACTTCAGTGTAATCATGCAACCTAATAGGGATTTTTCCATGTAAACCAGTATAATGCAACTTAATAGGGATTTTTCCATGTAAACCAGTATAATGCAACTTAATAGGGTTTTTTCATGTAAACCAGTATAATGCAACTTAATAGGGTTTTTTTTCATGTAAACCAGTATAATGCAACTTAATGGGGATTTTTCCATGTAAACCAGTATAATGCAACTTAATAGGGGTTTTTACATGTAAACCAGTATAATGCAACTTAATAGGGTTTTTTCCATGTAAACCAGTATAATGCAACTTAATAGGGTTTTTTCCATGTAAACCAGTATAATGCAACTTAATAGGGTTTTTTCCATGTAAACCAGTACAATGCAACTTAATAGGGATTTTTCCATGTAAACCAGTATAATGCAACTTAATAGGGTTTTTTACATGTAAACCAGTATAATGCAACTTAATGGGGATTTTTCCATGTAAACCAGTATTATGCAACTTAATAGGGATTTTTCCATGTAAACCAGTATAATGCAACTTAATAGGGTTTTTTCATGTAAACCAGTATAATGCAACTTAATAGGGTTTTTTTTCATGTAAACCAGTATAATGCAACTTAATGGGGATTTTTCCATGTAAACCAGTATAATGCAACTTAATAGGGGTTTTTACATGTAAACCAGTATAATGCAACTTAATAGGGTTTTTTCCATGTAAACCAGTATAATGCAACTTAATAGGGTTTTTTCCATGTAAACCAGTATAATGCAACTTAATAGGGTTTTTTCCATGTAAACCAGTACAATGCAACTTAATAGGGATTTTTCCATGTAAACCAGTATAATGCAACTTAATAGGGTTTTTTACATGTAAACCAGTATAATGCAACTTAATGGGGATTTTTCCATGTAAACCAGTATTATGCAACTTAATAGGGATTTTTCCATGTAAACCAGTATAATGCAACTTAATAGGGATTTTTCCTTGTAAACCAGTATAATGCAACTTAATAGGGTTTTTTTCATGTAAACCAGTATAATGCAACTTAATGGGGATTTTTCCATGTAAACCAGTATTATGCAACTTAATAGGGATTTTTCCATGTAAACCAGTATAATGCAACTTAATAGGGTTTTTACATGTAAACCAGTATAATGGAACTTAATAGGGGTTTTTACATGTAAACCAGTATAATGGAACTTAATAGGGGTTTTTACATGTAAACCAGTATAATGCAACTTAATAAGGATTTTTACATGTAAACCACTATAATGTAACCTAATAGGGGTTTTTACATGTAAACCAGTATAAAGCAACTTAATAGGGATTTGTACATGTAAACCAGTATAATGCAACCTAATAGGGATTTTTCCATGTAAACCAGTATAATGCAACTTAATAGAGATTTTTCCATGTAAACCAGTATAATGCAACTTAATAGGGATTTTTCCATGTAAACCAGTATAATGCAACCTAATAGGGATTTTTCCATGTAAACCAGTATAATGCAACCTAATAGGGATTTTTCCATGTAAACCAGTATAATGCAACCTAATAGGTTGCATTATACCACCAGACCAAGACCCAAACGAAGACTCAGACCACCACCAGATAATGACCACAGACCAGGTTTCCTTAGTTACAGGAACCAAATTGTTTCAGCGGTGAGGGGATTTTTCAGTTTCAAGGACACTTTCAATACATTCAGTAGTTTCAAGGATTTCAACTGTTTAAGAATTTAACCAGTTTCAAGGATATCAGGAGGTTCAAGGATTTCAGGAGTTTCCACACTTTCAACAGTTTCCAGGTTTAAAAAAAGTTTCAAGGATTTCAGGAGTTTCAATGTTTCAACAGTTTCAAGGATTTCAGGAGTTTAAAGGTTTCAACAATTTCAAGGACTTCAGGAGTTTCAAATATCTATCAAGTATTTTAACAGTTTCAAGGCCTTTTAAAGGATTTCAAGGATTTTTTTTAGCAGATTTCCACATTAGATCTGTTCCGCAGTCAATCGCAATGGCTTCAGCCATTGCAAGTTTCTAGTTGATTTTGTTTTAAGAAAATAAATCTTTACATTTTGTGGCCTCTGATGTATTTGACTTTGACGTGCTTTCCCTGCTCTACAGTGTCAGTCCACTTCCACAATTACAAATATGAATTAAATAGACGCTCACAGCATAAGCTTCATGAGACTGAGCTCCATAAATGTAAACGTGTACTTTGTCATTTGACCCATCCTGATGCCACTCGGGCCTCTGTCATGAGCAGTGGTCGCCTTGTACAGCGGCCGGCAACAACACCGTGCTCATCTTTTGGATTCATAAAGTGATTCCACACTCCTGACTTAAGTCATTTTTTCAGTGGATACAACTCTGAGGGAGCTTGTCTTGCCATCTTCAATTCACCGGTGAATTATCACTGCCCCTATGCTGCGGCCCATACTGCCGTACCAGCGTTAAACCGTGCCATCTAAAATCCTTACGGTTAACCTACCGCGGACTTTCATCATCACAATTATCGTAAAACCGGTTAATCTCTGCAACGCTAATATGAGCTTTGGTCATCTGCCTCTTATGGACCAATGGCTCTGTGTTTTTGATTGACTGCGGAACCTTCCGCAGTCAACCATTGGTTTTGTATTTCTTTATTCCGTCATTTTTTTTGACACGTTTCACAGCTTTCACATTTTCAACAATTTCCACAAGTTATACATCAAAACGTTCCACATGTTTGGGAGATTATTGCTATTACTTTTGGGACTTCAGCGATTTCCGGTTTTTCCGCAATCGGACAAAAATCTGCATTGAGAATTCTGCAATGCATTTTAATAGGCCCATGCATTTTAATAGGACTTCAGCTCTTTCAGACATTTCTACAGTTTCAATGATTCAACAGTTTCAAGGATTCAACAGTTTCAAGGATTTCAGCAGTTTCAAGATTTCAAGAGTTTCAAGGACTTCAACAGTTTCAAGGACTTCAGCAGTTTCAAGGACTTCAGCAGTTTCAAGGACTTCAGCAGTTTCAAGGACTTCAGTGTAATCATGCAACCTAATAGGGATTTTTCCATGTAAACCAGTATAATGCAACTTAATAGGGATTTTTCCATGTAAACCAGTATAATGCAACTTAATAGGGATTTTTCCATGTAAACCAGTATAATGCAACTTAATAGGGTTTTTTTCATGTAAACCAGTATAATGCCACTTAATAGGGTTTTTTTCATGTAAACCAGTATAATGCAACTTAATGGGGATTTTTCCATGTAAACCAGTATAATGCAACTTAATAGGGGTTTTTACATGTAAACCAGTATAATGCAACTTAATAGGGGTTTTTTACATGTAAACCAGTATAATGGAACTTAATAGGGTTTTTTACATGTAAACCAGTATAATGGAACTTAATAGGGTGTTTTACATGTAAACCAGTATAATGGAACTTAATAGGGGTTTTTACATGTAAACCAGTATAATGCAACTTAATAGGGATTTTTACATGTAAACCAGTATAATGCAACTTAATAGGGATTTTTCCATGTAAACCAGTATAATGCAACTTAATAGGGTTTTGTACATGTAAACCAGTATAATGCAACTTAATGGGGATTTTTCCATGTAAACCAGTATAATGCAACTTAATAGGGTTTTTTACATGTAAACCAGTATAAAGGATAACAGTTTAAAGGATATCAGGAGCTTCAAATACTTCAGGAGTTTCAAAGATGTTTAAAGTATTTTAACAGTTTCAAGGATTTCAAGGATTTTTCAGCTAAATTCCACATTAGATCTGTTCCGCAGTCAATCGCAATGGCTTCAGCCATTGCAACGGTTTCTAGTTTGTTTAATGAAAAATACAAGCAGATTATCCAATCAGAGAGGAGGATATGTCTTTCATTTGGGTTGCTAATTTCTTAGGTGAAAGAAAAGGCTCATATTTTGCCTTTTTTAAGCACCAGTCATATGTAATGCATAGTTTCTAGCTAATCAGTCAGTGCTTAGGAGTTACATGTGTGTCACGGGAAGATTCTTGCAACAAACGGTGGATTGTTAAAGGTTGTTCGAGAATGTATTTTCAGTTGAAGGGCAAGTGCCAATACAGCTATCGGAAAGAAGCACATCTTGAATGAAATCCAAATGTTTTCCCCAGATCATTATTTGATGGTGGTTCGATTTACAAAGCTGCCATATTTTTCTTTTGTCACCGTGTGTGGAGTAAATGGAAATGACCAGGACACCAACATGTCTGAAAGTCCTTTCTACTGGCCAACATAATGCATGCATCATGTTTTTGACTATTAGAACCATAGACCATGTGGATTGGCCCAGGATTTACAGATAAATTATCAATTTATTTGTTTTGTTTGTTTGGATGCATGTGTTTCTGCTGCTACTAGACACCTGAATTTCTCCTACGGAGATCAAGTATCTATCTATCTATCTATGAAGTAAGACTAGAAAACTGACTTTTAACAGTTGCCATAGTTACTGGCAAATACCTTTCAACTGCCCTGCCCTCCAACACAATTTTAAACTATTATAGTCTCTTTGGAAGGTTGCGATCTCAGATGAACGCAACCTAATGCCTGTGTAAATGTGTCCATGTTGAGATAAAACCTCTGCGAATTGTGTGTTAACGCTGGAGTTTTTGTTGTCATTTCTCTACCGAAGGGGCTACCCCAAATCTATCCGACGGAAAAACAAGCTCGTACATGTCTGGACCCTTTCCTGTTGATCAGTAAAGACAGGCCCACTTACTCCGACAGAGACGAGAGAGCTAAATGGTCTTATTCCCCCAGGGCACCGTGGATGGAGAGGTATCCTGAGGCCTCTGAATACTATAGCCTCACTTCCTCCTAATCACCCTACGTCTCCCACAGAACCCTGCCTCCGTGCGCCTAGCCGCACAGATAAGACTGCGCGCCATTTATTCCTGTCACATCGCATAAAAGCGGCCATCAATTAAGCACCCGCGAAGAGTCCTGACCCTTGTATTGCGGAGGAGAGAGGAGCGCCATGAACAACAAGGCTATCTGCCGGTTTTCCCCTTTAGCAAGAAAAAAGGATGATTGATTTCCTCTTGGTGGCTCTAATGTGTATTGGACATCAGTCAATTAGATAGAGTTTACGGCCCGCGGAGATGTCCTGTGATGGAGGCGCGCGGAGATGAGAGGTGAGGGGGCCAATATTTACCAGATTATTGAGAGCTATTTAGCAATAAATGAAAGTGCAGTCATAAAATAGACTGTTCATAACAACAGCTGCACAATATTGATACAAGGTTTTAAGTTTTTAAGGACATGAAGTTGACAAATTGCAGCCATTTACAGTTAATTGATCATGCTCCAATGAGTAAATAATCTCTTTGGAGTAAAACAATAATAAACACTAAAAAGCTACATTGAGAAAAATTAGCTTGTCAACAACTTGTTAATTTTGGGTTATTTCAAAACGATACATTATGCATAAATGTCTTTGTTGAGCTTTTAATCATGTTAATTAAATCATGGTTTACTCAATCATCTCTTCTGGCACAAACATGCAACTCTACCCCTTCTGTCTAAAATCTCCATTCTCAGTCTCAGTACTAATGGCATGATGTAATTGTACCACTATGACATCACGCCCAGAGCAGTATTCCGGCTTTTAAAAAAAAATATTGCCGCTAAATTAGCTTTCACCCCTCATACGTGTTTCACTAGATATATTCTTCTAAAAAAGGTATTATTTCACATTCTAAATCATGACACAACAACTTATTATTTTTTACTCTTACCACTAAGGATCTCATTGTTGGCCCCCCAGAAGTCTGCAGCTTTGGATGGCCTGTTGTAGAACTCATCTCTGTTTGCAGCCAAAATCAGCCTAGAACAAAACAAAATCTATAAACTTTTCTGTGTAGAGACCGTGTTGATTATATGAATAATATAAAAGCAGGGGTTTTCTGTGTGTGCATGGATCCAACGAGTGGCTTATGCTTCAAAAGATAATTTAGTAATGAGGTCAGTGTTCAATGTCCAAACAATATAAAATGCAGTAGTAAAACTAGTTTACATTAACAACCTGCAATCATTTCCTGCATGTAATATTACAGATCTGCCAAAAACACATGAAGTTGGCCAATTTATTTATTCATTTACAACCTAAAGCAATGCACAGATAGGTAAAGGCAGTGAAGGTGAAAGAAAAAGAAAATCCATCTTGGGCAGACAAACAAAAAGAAAAAATAGCATACTGGTAAAGGTGCTAAAAGTGTTTAAAGCGTTTAAAGTGTGTTATAAACTGTGAAAGGTGGACATATGTTAAAGTGGCCCAAAAAGTCAATGGGTGATACAAATGGTTTAAGTACTAAAAGTGGCAAATCTTATCGCACCCATGAGAAGCCATTCGAAATGAAGTATGATTTGTTGAATTGGTGAAAAAATTGGTTGAGGCAGAAAAGAAGACAAAGGCCCTAATGATCGGTCAAAAAAATAATAATTGCAATAAAAAAATACAAATTCAAAATAAGTAAGTGGAGGTAAAACTCATGCTTCCAACCCCTTTTTACATTTTTTTCATACAATACATCGTTCAAATGGGTCAATTGCTTTTACATCATCGCAAATGTTCATTCACTTGACCAATGGTTGTGGCAGGGGAGCCCAAGCAGCACTTTGGGAGGCACTGGTCTACGCTGTCACTCTATAAGTCTTCTACACCTTCTAAATTATAAGCATAATACATTATAGATATTATGTTCCAGGCACCCATGGGTGTCGTGTAAACTACAGTGACACTATGCTCTATGGGTGATGAATGCCTCACAGACCTTAATCTTTACTGCAGTCGCTCTGCAGTTATTGGAAGACATGGAAGCACACGATGCCTTTTCAAATTGCTACTTTCATTTACACATTTATCCAGCAATACTGCACAGCAAGAAACAAATGGCCACAGACAAGGATGGAAAAAAATATTTAGTAATCTGCAGAAAAGGCAACATGGTTTGACACGCAGGCATTTAAATGGTGGTTTTACTTTTCTTTATTAGAGTTCAAAGGAGTATGTGACAGCATTTGGAAGGCACAGATAACTCTTTCTAAAGTGTGAATGTCATGGGCCTGTTTATATATTTCACATTTTGTAAACAGTGCTACTTTTGTTGCTCGTTTGAAGGAATGGAATGGAATACATTTTCCATTTGTCGCTGTTTGGATAATTAAACTAGTAGGTTAGAGGCTCCACATGTATTAATGGGTGTAGTGCATGGCTCTTTTAGAATTCTCTCAGATCCCAAAAACTTTTAATCGATTACTAATTTAGTAAACGACTTTTTAAATAATTGATTACTGTAGTTGTGATTAATTGACAAACTTGTTACAGCCCTACATGCATTTATTGCTTAATTTAAGTGGCATACAGCAGGCTATAGTGTGCAGTATATCAATAATTCCATCTATGCATCTTATTCAAAAGGAGCAGGAATCAAACCTACAATTATGCACAATTCTCAAGCGAGCAAGATGCAAGACAAGATTACTCCAACTCTCTTTTTATCTATCTCTCCCCCTCCCTCTCCAACTTGCGTAATACTTACTCTATACAACAGAGTTAAATCCACTGTGAAATGGATTTAAACTGTACTGGGGCACTTCTGCACCCGCGGGAAGCAAGAAACAAGGGAAAAGCTAATGAACTATATTGACCCCTTTGTGTTGGCTCGGGGCGAGTTCTGCTCTGGGTGGCATGATTCCTTTATTATTTATCTTACCAGAGCTGTGAGTGGACTGTGTTGAGTGCAAAACGGATAAGCTAACCCTGCCTAACGAGGGTCAAAGCATGTGATGGTAATGATAGTTTTCCTGTGCGAGGATCGGTGATCGGTATACCTCCTTCTGCACCGCAGCTGCGCTAATGATGCTGCTTCAGAAAAGTGCATCTGCAATAGGATCCTGGGGGTAAATCACATACTAGCAGCCGTGATCACAGTCACAGTAAGCCAGCTGCATCATGGGTAAGCGTGCAGATGAGTGATTAAAGGGCCATTGTCAAGGAGCATCAGCAACAGTGAATTGTGTATACACACACACACATACTTGGCATTTGTGTAAGCCTGCCACAGGAGAGCTGGTCTTTCCCATCCAAACCTATAAAACATATTCATAACCGTTTGTAGCTATCATCGTGTAAATATAGAGGTAGGAAAATATTTCACCCTTACACGGGAAATCTTTATTGGTATTCACAATGACAGGGCATTTTGTAGCTGTTCCTTTCACACTGAGTGACATGGGTTGGCGTGTTAAAAGGACCCGGCATTTGACCCTCGTCTGACTCATTGGCGTCCTCAGGCTGAATGAAAATTGATCTGACAAAAGATAGGGTCTCGTATTCAAAGCCCACAATTGCTTACTTCAAATCAGTATACGAGTGGTCCGCTTAACATATTGTCCACGAGCTTAACAACAACTTACAGACAGAATGTTTTCGTTTTTTATGTTTCTGTTGCAAACAATTTCCTATTTGCGCTCCCACATTCCTGTAACTTTTCAGAAGTTATAACCACACAACCACAGCAAATGTGTAATAGCGAGACAAAAGGGACACTGCATTGATTTTGAACTGAAGGATCATGTTGGTTCTTCTATTGAAATTAAGTTAAATGAATTTTAAATGTTGTGTGGTTATTTATACTGAATTGCCTTTTAAGACCATGTTTTAGAAACAAAAGTAACACCTGTAACTGTAACACAGATCTACCAACAGTGTTGTTGTTTTTTTATTTTTTTATTTGCTTCATTAAGAAATGTGATTTTTTTTTTTTGTTGTCTGTGTTGTAGAGCTGAAGAAAAGTGACATGTTCAGACCCAGGGCAGTGTTGCGCCACTCTTTATTATAAGCAAGATTATTTTGTCAAAATAAGAGTGCTTAACAAATTAAACTTTTGAGGAGAATATGAAATGGAGAAGTTACATGCAGCATACATTTTAAGACCCAGATATCAAAATTCAAGACAATTAAGCGTATTATTGCCGAATGCAAATGTTTATAGGACTCTTTAAAGCCCTGTAAGGAGTGGAGTTGCCCTGTGTATGAATTGTGCTATAGTATACAAATAATGTTGCATTCTGCTACATTCAAATAGAAACTAATCATCTTTTGTGCTTATTTAAGCCAAACATTGTGAAATGAAGAGAGGTTAAGAAATACATATGCTGCCTGTCCCTGACTCATTTCACCCTCCTTAACTCCTTTTCTTGTAATTTCACTTGTTACTGCCACATGATTGATAAAAGAGATCATGACATTTGTGGTGTAGCCCTACTTGATACAGTCCAATTATATAGTGTAGTCAAAAAACAAAGCAGTGTAGTCCATGAGCAGTCTGTTTTTCAGTGGTCGGCTCCATGCCCTGCATGCTACAATCTCTTGCAGTGTGTGAAAAAGCCCTCACCTGACCCAGTTCCTGTCTGCCCTTCCCTGTGGGGATGCTAACCCTGACTAAGGACGAGATCATGACAAAGTTGTGCTATGAGCTCTGACTCAGCCCCAAACCCCAGAAAGGTGAAACGTACCGTGTCCTCATGCACTGGGTCAATATAGAATCTGCAGGCTGCATGCGAGTTACATGTTAGCTGCATGTTAGCTGCGATAATGCTTGAAAAAGGTAAGCGTTGATTGTTTCCCATAGCATGGCGAGAAGGATTTGATGGTGTTATGGTTATCTTGTGTCGGTTTACAATTTATCAAAAACAATAATAAAATGATGCATTATGTTGTCATTAAAGAGAGCTCGTCTCCACCAACTCCCACTGATGTCTGCTGTCGTTGTGTCCTTGGGCAAGACACTTAACCCCACTTTGCCTGCAGCCCCTGCTGAAAGACCAAGGCTCCTGTGGACTCAACACCTGCAGGAGGAGCAGTGAGGGGCTGGTGCTATGTGTACTGGGTGCAGCTCTGACTGCCACCCCCCTGACCCAGAAATGGACTAAGGGGAAGAAAATGGATGGATGAATGGATGGATGGAAGGTAAAGAGACAGCTTGGCTAGAAGGTTTTGGAGAGAGAATGTGCTGTCAACGCAATTGTGCTAGACAACAAAATGCAACAAATATCTACTTATGTGTTATAAAGATACGATTACCTAATGTGCTGTTCTGATCCAACTGTTACCTACATTGTTGTAGCAGCTGCTTGTTAAGTCTGGGACTGGCCTTAGTTGGGGCACTGGGCATTGGGGGGGGCACATTGATCTGGTAGAACTTTTTGTTTAATTGAAATGTTTGAATCAAGCTTATGACTGAAACTATAATAATTCTAACTGTATCCATAAAAAAAAAATTAAACCGTGAATTATGTACATGGGGAGGGAGTCTATACGTTTTTCTTCTTCCCACTACATTTTGAGCTGACAATAAAGTTGTAATTATAATTGTAAATATAGTTGTATATATAGTGACATATTGCTACTCGAATTAATTAATAAACATGAAATAAGTGCAAAAAAAATTAAGAGTTAGATATGACCAGACCATTTCAAATTAACGGCTTAATTGTTTAGTTCAAGGCTGTCCTTTCGTCAAATTCTCAAGTCAAACTTTTAAAACTGCTTTGTCTTCTGCTTCTACAAAGAACATCAAAAAATACAAATATTTAGACACAGGGGATTAACTAGGTTTGGTCTCGTCACACCTGCTTCTGTTTTGTGCACCCCTGTCCCAGCTTACATGACACTAGAGAAACCAGTCAAAATAAATAAAGGGTCATAATATGTATAGACCAAGCAATTGACCATTTTTAACTATTACTATAGGAGGAGTAGGGACACCTCCACTACTGTTAAGTCTTATGCAAGTAAATACAGGCCTTTGTAATTAAGCAGGTGAACGTTATCTGCTGCCTTCATTGAGGAGAAAAGATTATCTCTAAAGATAGAACTAAACCAACTCTCGCTTCACTTGTCCTACTTTTGCTTTCTGCTTAGTCACTTAGTAACAGCTGAGTGGCACTGGGCATAAGATATGGTTTTATTCTGATCTTGTGCGGTAGGAGATTGTGCTGAAGTGCAATTTTGGGGAAACACATGCAACAACAAAAATCCATGTCTATAGAAAAGATCAATGAGTTTAAAAAAAAAGATTGGATATTTTCATGCATGGGTGATCTTTTCTGTAGTTTGTCCAGAATTAGGGTTATAATAAAATACATTCTTGGTATATCTGGTTAATTCGTTGTGTGTAAATAAATGCAGTCTTTGCCATTTGATATCTCAGCAACTCAATTTGCATTTTTGATTCAAAAGCAATAGTGAGGTTATGGGTGAAATTTCCTCCTGTACCTGAAGGCGTTTTTGGATGCAGGCCTGGGGTCAAACTTGAAGAAGATTATACACATGGATGTATTGGACGGCAGAACGTTCAGGACATCTGTCTTCAATTACAGCCCATATCTGCATAAATGAAAGAAAAATAAGACAAAAGTGTGTATCTACTTTGATAAGACACTTTAATATGTTTTATTCAAATGTGCAGCTGTAATGTTTTTTTTAATTTAGCGCGCATCCCGTTTACAAATCATGATCGACACATCTCAGCTGTCAGTGTGCCATGTCATTTAAATGGATGTATAAGGGCTACTTCAGCTTGTTAGCGACTGCACTTTTTGAATTGTGATCCAACTAGTCTTTCCAAACATGTGTAGTTTGCTTTTTAGTCTTAAAAGTTAACGTTGCAACCCAAAATGAAAATGATTCTATGTATGGTCTGTATCAATGCTGAACCACGGAGACAACAGATGAATATTAACATCCGGCAAGTGTATATGATGAACGTGGACAAACATATACGATACATTAAATAAGGTAAACATAATAAAATATAATGTTATTTACCACAAAGTCTCCGGCTCTGTAAAGCGACTGAACTGTTTGAGCTGTTGACAAAGAGCTACAAGGAAGTGTTTCCTTTGAGGGATATTGGTTTTCACGCCAGCGTGTCTGCAGGGGTGTGCGCGTGTCTGTGTGCGACTATTACTACAGGTACCGCCCATCTCAGCTCTTTCAATACTTACAACAAGTATACATGTGTCAGCATCCCCTCTGATTGGTCTTCTTAATATAGTGAAGTTAACGATATGTAAAAATAAAACAATTTCCGCTATTTTTCTGTCAAAATAAATTACTCGCGAGACGTCTTTTTGAAATACAATGTTTACAATAAATATTTGGTCTGAAATAATAATTTAATGATTAATGAACGCTCTAGTCTGCAGCAAAATAATTCAAGGCAGTCCCGTTTGCGTGACGTGCTGGATTACGTTACATTAAATGTATATAAACGCCAGTGTATGTGTATGTTTTATGAAAACTCAACACTTTAGTAACACAAAAACCTTAAGTATAATTTTGCATGCAAAAAATATATACTTGAGGGCACTAATGACATAAAAGCCCTCAATATGAACAGGACTTACCCAAACTGTATATAAAAATACCCGTGAATGAGCAACCAAATCTCCACAAAGTTGCTCATTGCCTTAAAATCACGTGCAAATAACATAGTATTATTGATTATGTGCTAAGTTGCATTCAGATTTCACAGATGCACAGTGGGGATAGCAGAGGGGCGGGGACTACCGCGCCATCCGTCACTATTCCTCTGTGGATGAGAGCGAGAGCTGCTCCTACATCCCAGTTTTACTATTCTTTTTCACGTGCTACCGTTAACTATTTCTCCAAAACCTCGTCTTTCGTACACCTTGTGGTCTCATCGAAAGCTGTAGTCGCATGTATTATACCGGGGCAGTTGTAGCGACTGTAGCCTGGAGCAGTCAAGTTGTTCGCTGAAGACGCGCGGTGCCTCATCTCCGGGACTACTGCACATCACATAGGACGGTCCTCTCCAGAACAACAATGAACTAAACACTGGGTAAGCACCAAAATAACAGAATGAGTCTTGTTGTTGACATGAGTTACTAGGTGTCCTGGCGACGCCGACAATATGTCAAGTGAAGTGCAATTTGTTATAAAATGCTTTACCTCTCTCTGAACCATGTTATCCTTGCCTTATATTTAAGCTGCAAAATACGATGGAGAGATAGCATATTTTTGAGTAGATTGATATTGTGAGATGCCTGGCTCATCAATGCAAATCCAAATCAAACATAGCATCCTTGTTCCCATTGTTTTTTTGTGTGTTGGAAATTGCGAGTTTTCACAATGTCATTTTGCTCCTGCAGTTGCCTATAAAGCACCTCAAGAAGACTAAACCCGCGGAAATTATTAAAAGGATCTATGATAGGTTGTCAGTGGACATTGATTGGCCCCAAAGAGCCATTTTCACACCCAGCAAGTTCTTAATAGCCGTAAGATTGTAATAGCCTAATATCCTGTCGAAATGAATTTGCATTTTGGATTTGAACTAAAAAAAACAGGAGATTCATACTCTGACTTGATTTTTCTTTTGCTCTGATTTATTTATTTGCTCATAACATCATCAGTAAAATGTATCCACAGCACCACTCTTTTATCAAATTGCTGTTGTAATTAGTATTAATGGAGGATGATAAAATGGGAAATCAGAACAGAGGGGACACTACGACAGCAATGACAGATTCACAGCATAATGTTTGATTCTGAAGTGCATTTTTGTTGAAATGACTGGAAAATTGCACACTCTATGGTATAAGGTTATCTTGCTTTCATTTATTCAAGTGTTTTTTTCTTTGTTCTGTATTGCTAATTTCCATTGAGATGCATATTTACACTTAATTCTTTGTTTTTTAAAAATGCTGCTATTTTAAAGTCGATTGGCATTTGTATTGAGAATCAGTCGCCCACAACAATTATAACATATTGATTAAAAAAAAGAAAGATGTACTCATGATTTTAGCCATATTTGAGACCTGTAGGCCCCTGGGGGAAGTAGATGGATGTTTCAACAATCGAATCGTCCAAAATGATGAAGAAGTTGCTGCAGTTTTTTTATTTACTTTGTGGCATTATGTAACTTGGTGGCATACTTTTTTAAATGGCAAATGTTTGCTTTTAAGGCTTGAAATGATCTGTTAGCTGGTAATCATTGTACACTGTTTTATGAAGTCTTTGTTTTGCCTTGATGCCAAATTCATTCGGGTGACTTTGCTGCTGTGGCCTGTTGTGGTTGTGTTTTGATTTTTCATATTACATTTTAATATCAAAGCTATCGCTAAAGACGGACATAACATTTACTTAAGAAGACTAAACCTGCGGAAATTATTAAAAGGATCTATGATAGGTTGTCAGTGGACATTGATTGGCCCCAAAGAGCCATTTTCACACCCAGCAAGTTCTTAATAGCCGTACGATTGTAATAGCCTAATATCCTGTCGAAATGAATTTGCATTTTGGATTTGAACTAAAAAAAACAGGAGATTCATACTCTGACTTGATTTTTCTTTTGCTCTGATTTATTTATTTGCTCATAACATCATCAGTAAAATGTATCCACAGCACCACTCTTTTATCAAATTGCTGTTGTAATTAGTATTAATGGAGGATGATAAAATGGGAAATCAGAACAGAGGGGACACTACGACAGCAATGACAGATTCACAGCATAATGTTTGATTCTGAAGTGCATTTTTGTTGAAATGACTGGAAAATTGCACACTCTATGGTATAAGGTTATCTTGCTTTCATTTATTCAAGTGTTTTTTTCTTTGTTCTGTATTGCTAATTTCCATTGAGATGCATATTTACACTTAATTCTTTGTTTTTTAAAAATGCTGCTATTTTAAAGTCGATTGGCATTTGTATTGAGAATCAGTCGCCCACAACAATTATAACATATTGATTAAAAAAAAGAAAGATGTACTCATGATTGATCATTAGCCATATTTGAGACCTGTAGGCCCCTGGGGGAAGTAGATGGATGTTTCAACAATCGAATCGTCCAAAATGATGAAGAAGTTGCTGCAGTTTTTTTATTTACTTTGTGGCATTATGTAACTTGGTGGCATACTTTTTTAAATGGCAAATGTTTGCTTTTAAGGCTTGAAATGATCTGTTAGCTGGTAATCATTGTACACTGTTTTATGAAGTCTTTGTTTTGCCTTGATGCCAAATTCATTCGGGTGACTTTGCTGCTGTGGCCTGTTGTGGTTGTGTTTTGATTTTTCATATTACATTTTAATATCAAAGCTATCGCTAAAGACGGACATAACATTTACTTAGACAAACAACACTTTTCATGATAAATGGGTCACTGAATACAGGGAATGATGTGTGGTTCATTTCTAAATTCTGCAGCCTGGGTGCTGCTTGTGTAACAATATAACAAAAGCAGTCCAAGGACATATCATTTTTCCTCGCTACGAAAAACCTTCCTTGAGTTACAACAATATTTGGACACAGCACTGAGAGAAATGTTCTTTACAAGTTCTGCAGATGTACTGTATAAAGGCTGAACCTTTTTAAGGCTTAACATAGAAAAATGTCCTGTCCTAAAATGTTAAGGAGCTTGTTATTCTTTGATGGATATTGATTGGAGTAAGTTTGTTTTAATGAAAAGACGGAGAAGAAATGTGACACAAAGATATCCAGTACATTAGCAATTTTTTTACATTATGGAGGTATACAAATTATTACGTTTTTATTGAATATGGGTACTTACTTTGGACACATTTTTTTTTAGTCTTGCAATTCTTAGATTGAAACAGAACTGGAACATAGATGGCTGAGTACTGTCCAATAACGAGCTGATCTCTGTTCAATAATATTAAAATGTAAACATATGTATGGACTTGGATTCATTCAATTGGTGAATAAACAACATTAACAAATCAGTTAAAAAATCAGAACAAAAAAGAGAGAAAAGGAGAAAAAAGAGTGATTCCCACAGCACAGAGGAAGTGATGGGAGAGAGGTGTACGGTCAGAGAGTATTTGGGACCATGTGTGCATGCGTGTGTTCTTTGTGAGTGAGAGGGGTTGAAACCAAATAATCTGCTTTGTCCAACCCCTTTTCATTTCAATCTGTCTATTGCTGTTTATTTTATGTATCCCGTTTGTCTTTTGGTCTACATAAGTTTTAAAGAAAGGAAAAAACCTCACAGAATTACTTTGATGCAGATACTGTCTTTTCAATTGACTACATTTTAGTTCATTCAGAATATATCCAAGCTCTACTAATAATTGAGCACTGTTTGAGTCCTTCCAGTTCAATGTGAGGCTGGGCTTGTTGAGGTCAGTACATCTCAGTCATCATCCTCTTGTTGCTGCCTTGAGTGAAATAAAATCTTTTTGAAAGTTTAGTTCGGGAAGAGCCATCTGTCCATAACCCACTTTCTTTACTAAACACCTGTCCACAGAACGTTTTCTCCGCCTCTCTGTAGTCATTACAAAAACATTACTGCATT